GCGTGGCACGGTGGGGGGCAGGCTGGAGAGGGGTCTGCATCCCACGGGGAGTGCAATGCCGTTGGAGGGATTGGTGTAAAAGTTTCGGCCAGATCTGGGGAGACGGATTGGGCAACGGCACACCAACGCTTGGGGCATGTGGCAATGCCCCTGTTGAAGCAGTTGGAGAAAGATGGAGCCGTAAAGGGTCTGAAGCTGAACGGACAGCCACCTGATGAGAATTGTGAAATATGTTTGCTCTCAAAGTTTACCCGTTTCCCCTTCCATAGTGTGGCTGGCAGGAGCAAGAAGCCGTTGGAGCTGGTCCACATGGACTTGGTGGGGCCGCTGCCGGTTCAGGGGCACAAGGGGGAGCGGTACTTCAAGTGCAAGAACCTTGGGGAGGTAAAGTACTACCTCGGGATGCACGTGGAGAGGGATCTGGATCACAGGTGGTTGAAGCTGCACCAGGAGAAGTTCATCAAGGAGCTGGGGGAGAAGTACGGGATTGAGAATGAGCGCAAAGTTGCAACTCCCCTGCCAGCAGAATTCAAGCTTGTGAAAGCTGCAGAGGATGAAGGGGTTGAAGCCGAGGAGCAGCAGCAATTTCAGTCCTTGGTGGGCAGCCTCTTGTATGCAGCAGTTCACATAAGGCCCGACATCTCTTTCTCGGTTGGGCAGCTGGCCAGGGTGGTGCAGAATCCATCAGAGGAGCAGGTGGATGCACCTGAGCGTGTGGTGAAGTATCTGAACTCTCACCCAAGCATTGGAGTTCAATACTCCGCATCTGCACAGGTGAAGCAGAAAGGGGTTGAGGTGCTGAAAGAGAAGGGGGAGAGGCTTGGAGAAGGCAAGCTCTTTCCCACTTTCTTTACCGATGCTACGTGGTCCTCTGGGAAGGAGGATTCTTCATCTGTGGGAGGATACATCTGCGTAGTTGGGGGAGGACCGGTTAGTTGGAGGTCAAAGAAGCACACGGAGACAGCACTCTCTTTCGTGGAGTCAGAGTACATGGCAATGTTTCATGGGGTGAAGGAGGTGATTTGCCTGAGGAGGCTGCTGGAGGAGATTGGCCAGGAGCAGAAGGTTGCTACGCCGCTGTTTTGTGATAGCAAGGGAGCTCTTGGGATGGCCAGGAACGCTGTGCTTCATAGGCTGAACAAGCACATGCGTATCAAGTGGTACTGGCTGCGTAAGGAGGTGAAGATGGGGACGGTGAATCCGATCTACATCAAGACTCAACAGCAGCCAGCAGACTTCCTCACCAAGAGGCTTGCAGATGAGCCTCATTGGCGTTGTGTGCGGATGTGTGGAATGAGCATGAACTAGTATGGAATGATGGGGATGCAGCCGGCAGGCTGAGGGGGAGTGCGTTGGGTGCAAATTCACATTGCACGACATCCTGCCGTTTGTTTGTATGAGTATGCGTATGCGAATGCATTTGAGTGTGAATGGAATGTTCGTGTGTTTGTTTGCTTTCGCAATTTTCGCTTGAAGCATTTGGAGGTACTCGCGCATTATGCACTTCGGCACAACATTGCACGCGCTATGAACAGTACAAGCAGAAAGGACGAGCTCGCAAAGGAACCCAAGATGGAAGCTTTGCGGTTCGGCTTACTTGATTGCGCAGATTCAGTTCTATCCAACTCAAAATTGTACTGTTTTGTTTGGTTGACTATAGTGTAGCAGGGCAGGCACTATAGGGGTACAATTTAGGTGAAGGTTGGATGTTGTTTGTCTGTATCTGCATGCTACAGGGCCAGGGGAAACCAGCGGAACCAGCATTTGGCTGGTTGGGCAAAGACAAAACAGGTTCTGTTTTGAGGACCTGAACCTGGTTGTTGTTTTCCCAGGTTGGAAAAACAGAACCAGAGGTTGTTTACCAACCTACCACCTGCTGTTTTGTCCAGCCAGGTTGGTTCTGTTGCTTGGAATTATTTGGGATCATCCTTGGTTGTTCCCAGATTTATTCCCAAGGTCCTTGCTAGCTAGAACTATATATATTCCTTCTCTGTTTGTACCTGAATATAGTGAATTTGATTCAAGCGAATTTCTCCCTTCCTGGAATTTCGTTTCTACGCAGTACGGCGGCGGAATGCTACCCGAGTCAACGCTAGTACGCTAGCACTCCAACACTAGGCAAACGTTGTCCGAGCCATAAATTCGTAATGGCAGAACTTTTCACGAGGCAACTTGGTTCATTTTAAAGCTCTTGGAGCGAGCTTCGATATAGGAAATTCTCAGCTTAATCCGATCGACGGTCTGCACGATACGCTGCGCGACGTTCAAGATACTCTTGCTGTTTTGACTAAGTCCCTCTTGATCCCTCTCTCTACAAACTCGGACCCGAGGAAAGGGGCTGGTCTTGTACCAGGCACCCAAGGACCCTTGGAAGTGACCCCGAGGAGAGGTTTTAAGTTTGATAAAGTCTTAATAGCTTGAGTTTATTAGGCCCTTACACCTACACTCACTGGGCACGCAGACGCTTCTTGGGCTGACGACCAGGCTACGCAGCGGTCGTCATAGGGTTACACCTTCAGCCTTGGTTCCGGCTCTGTTTCGTGGCGGGCTACTCGCTCTTCTTCTGTTCTCGGCTCCAGTTGTGAGGCTAAGATCTACGCAGGAGCCATGGCTGCTCAGGAGCTTCGCTGGCTCACCTACCTGCTGACTGACCTCAGAGAGCCGCCTCGTTCTCCTCCAGTGCCGTACGTAGACAACAAGGCCATGCTGGCCTTGGGTCGGGAGCAGCGACTGGAGCACAGAATGAAGCACATTGCTCTCCGCTACTTTCTTGCTCGTGAGCTGCAGCAGCGTGGTCAGCTGCGTCTTGCGTACGTGGCCTCTGAGGCCAACACTGCTGATATCTTCACCAAGGCGCTTGCGCCTTGTGATCATCAGCGCTTCTGTACTCAGCTAGGTCTTGTGTCTGCCTTGCCTCACTTGCTCACCTCTTGACCTTGTTTGTACTGTTACATCTATATATGCACCTGCTCTTGCTTGTCTAGCCTCTTATATATATATATGTACTCCTGCATGTGAACTGGCCTTGTGGCCTTTGAACTTGTGCTCGGAATGTGTGGTGACTTTGTGATCCACCCTGAGCTTGCTTTGCTTTGCTTGACTGGTCTTGTGACCCGTTGTTCTCCCCCACTGTGCCTATGGGGGTGTGTCAGAACATCATAGCTTATGCATTTTGTGTAGGCCATAGTGGGGTAGCCCATAAGGGGTACAACCCAATCATGGTTAGTACTTGCACCAACTCTTGCATAGTCCAATTTATTCTCGTTCTAGTTTTCTCATGCTTGTGTATCGTTGGCAATTAACAGCAGTTGTGATACTTGTATTTATTGGCGAAAACCCACCCTATACTGGCGCGTGTCCCTGCTACACATCTGAGCTGTGCTTCGTTGTTGCATCGAGCATATGAGGTGTATTAAGAAAGTGTGTAGACGGTGTAGTCAATGCCCAGTGCAGTATATCGGGTGATCACCATAAGGGAGGTTGGAGTGCACGTTTTTTACGAGCCGCAGGTCAAATGTCCACATTTCCAACCTCACAATGTCATTTTCGGAGACCCACCTCGCGCAGTGTCCATCTCTGGCAAGCGCGACTCGGGGTTCGGCTCCCTTGAACATTCGAGCCAGAGTTGCATTTTTAGGTTGTTGCTTTCCGGATACTTTTCTGCAACTTTTGGGCAAATTTCATGCAGCCTCCACACTTAAACTCGAATTCGGGCCAAACCCTTTTCCGCGCAGTGATTATGATGATGGTGATGGTGATGGTGATGGGGAGGATGATGGTGAGTCAGTAGAATGTTCCTCGAGTTGTAACGATGACGATTGTGTCAGTGGCAAACCTTTTCCTCCACCTCCTTTGCTTCCTTCCTCTCCCCATTCCGCTCCTAGGTTGGCACTTGTCATCCAGTCTTCCCATTCTTTGAGCCTTTGTCTCTCTTCAACTTCTCACCGCATCCCCTTCGGCCTGTCCCCCATCCCCTTCCACCTACCCCCATCCCCTTCCGCCTGTCCCCGATCCCCTTCCGCCTGCCCCACATCCCCTTCCGCCTGTCCCCAATCCCCTTCCGCCTGCCCCCCCATCCCCTTCCGCCTGCCCCCCCATCCCCTTCCACCTATCCCCAATCCCCTCCCGCTCCCATTCCGTCTGTCCAGCAATCACTATGGCAGTTGCTGACGTCAACAGTGACTCCACCATCCTGCCACGTCACCGCATCCGCCTATTCACCCGCAACATCAGCGCCAGCTCACCATCCATTCTCAGCCAGCTAGCAGGTAGGAGCTGACATACTAGCCTGACGCTAGGCGAATCATTCAAATCAGCCACGTCAGCCACATAAGCTACTCGCCAGTTATACGCCCTACTAACTGTTTGCCCTCTCCCTTCCCTCCTCCTCCTCCTACTCTCCCACTCTTCTCCCCAAACCCCTCCTCACTCCTCTCCCCAATCCTCCCCATTTCGAGCCTTTTTGTGCTGCAGCCATGGCAGCGGTGCAGCAGCGGCCAGTGGCAATCATAGGCCCAGGGACGTCCGACCAAGCAGCTCTCATCAGCCCATTTGCCACTGCCACTCAGGTCAGCACACTAGCTAGGCAACGTTATGTTGTTCTTGGAATGGCGTCTCATGCAGATTGCAACACTGTTTCTAGGCTCCTGGAACCCATCAGCCCAACCAGCTAAGCAGGGTCTGGCCCAATGGCCTCATCCTATCCACCTCATCCCATCCTATCCACCTCATCCCATCCCGTCAACCTCATCCCATCCCATCCACGTCATCCCATCCTATCCACCTCATCCCATCCCATCCACCTCATCCCATCCTATCCACGTCATCCCATCCCATCCACGTCATCCCATACCATCCACCTTATCCCATCCTATCCACCTCATCCCATCTTATCCACGTCATCCCATCCTATCCACCTCATCCCATCCTGTCCACGTCATCCCATCCTATCAACCTCATCCCATCCCATCCATCTCATCCCATCCTATCCACCTTATCCCATGCTATCCACCTCATCCCATCCCATCCACGTCATCCCATCCCATCCACCTCATCCCATCCTATCCACGTCATCCCATCCTATCCACCTCACCCCATCCCATCCACCTCATCCCATCCCATCCACGTCATCCCATCCTATACACGTCATCCCATCCAATCCACGTCATCCCATCCTATCCACCTCATCCCATCCTATCCACCTCATCCCATCCCATCCACGTCATCCCATCCTATCCACCTCATCCCATCCCATCCACGTCATCCTATCCTATCCACCTCACCCCATCCCATCCACCTCATCCCATCCCATCCACGTCATCCCATCCCATCCACGTCATCCTATCCAATCCACCTCATCCCATCCCATCCACCTCATCCCATCCCATCCACCTCATCCCATCCCATCCACGCCATCCCATCCCATCCACCTCATCCCATCCCATCCACGTCATCCCATCCTATCCACCTCATCCCATCCTATCCACCTCATCCCATCCTATCCACCTCATCCCATCCCATCCACGTCATCCCATCCTATCAACCTCATCCCATCCCATCCAAGTCATCCCATCCCGTCCACCTCATCCCTTCCCATCGACCTCATCCCATCCCATCCACGTCATCCCATCCCATCCACGTCATCCCATCCTATCCACCTCATCCCATCCCATCCACCTCATCCCATCCCATCCACCTCATCCCATCCCATCCACGTCATCCCATCCTATCCACGTCATCCCATCCCGCCAACGTCATCCCATCCCATCCACGTCATCACATCCTACCCACCTCATCCCATCCCTTCCACGTCATCCCATCCCTTCCACGTCATCCAATCTTATCCACGTCATCCCATCCATCCACGTCATCCCATCCCATCCACCTCATCCCATCCTATCCACGTCATCCCATCCTATCCACGTCATCCCATCCCATCCACGTCATCCCATCCTATCCACCTCATCCCATCCTATCCACATGATCCCAGCCCATCTACGTCATCCCATCGTATCCACGTCATCCCATCCTATCCACGTCATCTCATGCCATCCACCTCATCCCATCCTATCCACCTCATCCCATTCTATCCACCTCATCCCATCCTATCGACGTCATCCCATCCTATCCACGTCATCCCATCCCTTCACCATCCTACCGTCTGTGCCCCCTCTCTGCAGACCCCTCTGGTGTCGGCGGCAGCAACAGACGTGCAGCTGATAGTGGGGGTGCGCGGCCGTACTTCATGCGCACCATTCCCAACGATGGGGCTGACATGCACGCCATAGCCGGTAACAAATGCTTACACGTGCTGTGGAGATGAGGCGATGTGTGCAGGTGAGGCGATGTGTGCATGTGAGGCGATGTGTGCATGTGAGGCGATGTGTGCATGTGAGGCGATGTGTGCATGTAAGGCGATGTGTGCATGTGAGGCGATATGTGCATGTGAGGCAATATATGCATGTGAGGTGATGTGTGCATGTGAGGCGATGTGTGCCTGTGAGGCAATGTGTGCATGTGAGGCGATATGTGCGGGTAGGTGACGTGTGTGCATGGTGTTTCATGTTGCGTAGTGAGCATTCTCAATGATGGAGTCCACATGCACGCCATAGCCGGCAACACACGGCACTGCATGCAGGTATGGTGGTGCATGCAGGTATGGTAGTGCATGTTAGAACGGTGATGCATGTATGTAGGTTTGGTGATGTGCGTAGGTATGGTGATGCATGCAGGCAGGTACAGTGCGTGCAGGTATGATGAATTATTCGTGTTCTTTTCCTTTCCCTGGTTTTCTCTCTTCCTCGTTTCTCTGCGGCAGCGCTGCTGCTGCGCTACAAGTGGAGGCAGGTCGTGGCAGTGTACACAGACAACCACTTCGGCCGCAACGGCATCACCGCACTCGTGACCTACTTGCTCGCAGACAAGGTGTGCGCATGCACTCGCTTGCACACTCACGCACACACTAGACCCACTTGCACAATGAGATGCTTTTTGAGTCAATTCGAAAGTCACCACTTTGGCCGCAACGGAAGGTGTGCTCACACTCATGACGAAGCACTCTCTCATGTCACGGTCCTTGCAGGAGTTCGTTTGAGGATTCTTAGTGAAGACGCTCACCGTCCCCTCACACTCACGAACACTTACTCACACTCACTAACACTTTCTCACACTCACTAATACTTACTCACACTCACTCATACTCACTCACTCTTACTCACACTTACTCACACTTATGCATACTCACTTACACTTACTTACATTCACACTCACTAACACTTACTCACACTCACTTTCCCACTCACACTTACTTACACTCACTCATACTTACTCACACTCACTCATACTTTCTCACACTCACTCACACTTACTCTCACTCACTCACTCATTCACTCACACCCATTCTCACCTTTTCAGACTCACCGGCACTCCTTCACACTCATTCGCAATCCCTCACGTGAGATTTGAGAAACTTGAAAGAAAAAGACATACCATATGTGTGCTGTGCGGTGTGTTGGCCCCCTCGTCCCATCTCCTCTTATTTCCCTTAGCCTTTTCCTACCCGTCACCCCCCTCTCAAAGGCGTGGCGAGTGACCAAGAGCTTCAAGGCAGCCTTCTCGATTTCCCTCTCAACTCTTTCCACCCCCTACCCCTATCCCATACTCCCTATACCCCTACCCCTGTCCATACACCTGAAAGGCGTTGGATGTGCACATTGTCCAGAGGGTGCCTGTCAAGTCCACGTGGACAGCTGATGACGTGGCACAAGCCCTGGCTGCCAGCAAGGCAGTGGACTCCTCCGTCTACGTGTTGCACGCGTCCTCTACCATGTCTGCTCTCATACTCGATACAGGTACACTCGATATGTGTCTACTCTGTGTAGACGGGCGTAGTTAAAAGAGCATTGTGGGTAACATTGTGGTGGGGGAATAAAAAAGTTCTAGAAAAGTTTTTCCTCTTATAGGATATATGGTCAAGAATATCATTTCCATAGCCATATGTCTGGTGCACCCCCATCCTTCCCTCAAGCACAGCAAGAATGCTAGGGAAGAAGTACGTGTGGAAACCAGTGCGAAACATTTCAGATTCCGCCCACATACCTTTGCCTCCTTCACTCCACCCCTATTTCAGCGAGCAAGGTGGGCATGATGGGGAAGAACTACGTGTGGATCACATCTGAGGGGGCTGCCCAGGCCAACACGTCCACACTGCAGAGTAGAGAGGTGCGTGAGCAGGAGCATGACAGTGCACGAGGGAGCATGACAGTGCACAAGGGAGCATGAGGAGAGTACACGTCTGTCTTTTGAGACGTCACAGAACTTGACTCCTAGTTGCTCGTCTCTCGCTTCTTCCCTCCTCTACTCAACGCACATCCGGACCCCTCGTCTCCTCTCCCATGGGTGGGGGTTTTCTGTCATAAACTCTACCCGATTTCCTGGGTCCAGTTTCATTCAACTTCCTCTCCTCTCCTCTCCCCTAGTCTCTTTCCGAAACCTTCCATACCTTCTCCCCAGGGTTTGATCACCACTCTCCTATCTACTTCACTTCTCTCCTCATTGCTTGTCCATCCTTCGTCCTTCTCCCCCACTTCTTATCCCTCCCACCCCTCTCTTCCCCAAGGTCTGATAATTAAAACCTCGTATCTGCGTCCGTCGCAGTGCCTGGCGGCCTTCAAGCAGCGGTGGAGGCAGGTGAGCGTGCAGCAGTTCCCAGAGGCGGCGGAGGAGGGCCCCAAGACGTACAGCCTCGCAGCGTATGATGCCGTCTACCTTGTCTCCCTCGCCCTGCACTCCCTGCTGCACCGCAACAGCACCACCAGAAGCGCCAGCAGCAGCAGCAACAGCAGTAGCAGCAGTGCAGGGTCACACTCCATTGTGCCTTGGGCTGTCGCGAGTAACGAGGCTTTGATACTGCCGTTGGCAGGGCAAGGGGTGGACGCTAGGCTCATTCCGCTACAGCAGAACCTGCAGCGCAACTCAGGTGGGTGCTTGCTTACTTGTACGGTGCCTCATAGCCAATGCAACTCATACCCTTAAGCACCTCATACTCGTCATTCTTTCTAAGGTACATCTTTTTTTCTTTTTCCTGGCTCCTTAATTGGATCGTTCCCACTCGCTCATGCTTCCCTCCCCCTTGCATTGCAGTGGGTCCAGCACTACATCAAGCCATCCTCAAAAAATCCTTCCAAGGACTCACAGGGAGGTAAGAAGTTGAAAGCCTTCCTTACAGGGACCTTTTGAGGCATGAGCTGCTTCTACGGCTGTGCTTCCTCACCTCCTCCTCTCCCTTCCTCCCTCTCTTGCTCAAACTCCCCCCTCCCTCCCTGCCCCACCTCCCACCCTCCCTCCCTCCCCACGGTTCTCTCCAGGGTGTCCCTCACGCGGCATGGTGATGTGCAAGCTGATGCAACGGAGGTGCTCAACGTGGTCAACCCCACCGCCATCAGGGTCGGCTTTTGGACTCCGCACTCGCAGCTTACGCACTCGCTAAAGGCATGCTTGGTGTGGTGTGTTGATTTGATCTTGTGTTATGTGAACACAGCGCTTCTTACGCATGGCATTGACATTTTGTCTTGCTTCCCTTCATGTGATGTTTCGCACCTCTCGTTCTCTGCTCACCTGCTCTCTTTGTCTCGCCTGTTCCAGCGGCCCTCCAAGGACCAGCAAGAGACACTCAACATAGTCTTTCCGGGTGGGATGGTGCAAGTGAGTGAGTTGTATTCAGTAACGAATAAGTGAAGCATTTACGAATAAAGATACATGCTCATTCAAAAAATTATACATGGTCAAAAGCATGCCTTTGCCTCTGCTCACGTAAGACATGCCGTGCGCCTTTCTTTGGATTCAAGATGTCTCAAAATAGAATAAAATTCTGAGACGTCTGAAAACCAGAAGTCATGCCTTGTCTCTTCTCACTTTGTCATTTCGCCCTACTCTTTTCTTTGTCTGCCAGACAAGCCTGGGTCTCTGCATATCAATTAGACTCGGGTCATGCGCATGGCTAATATTCATCTACTTAACTAATGCAAACTGCAACGGCTCAGCGATCCCAAAATCCTTGTGGTAAAATAAATCTCTTACCTTTTTGGGTCCATCAGTTTTCCTAGGACAGCTTTTAAATCCGGGCCGCTTCTTGAAAATAGGTGACTCGCTGCGCCTTCCCCCCAATAGCCATGGCCCCATTCAGGCACCCATTGAAGCATTTCCCAAGACTAAACTCCGATTGGCTGTACCAAATGGAGGGGTGCGTATTCCTTTTGTGTGTGTGTGTGCGTATGTGTGTGCGTGTGTGTGTGTGCGTGTGTGTGAGTACGTGTGTGTGAGTGCGTGTGTGTGAGTGGGTGTGTGTGTGCGTGTGTGTGAGTGCGAGTGTATGTGTGTGTGAGTGAGTGTGTGTAATTGTGTGTGTTTGTGTGTGAGTGTGTGGCTGCAGCAAACCTAGATCCCTTTTCCACCTTCCTCCACTCATCTCCCTGTTGGGTATTATGTCATTCTTGCCTGGTCTCGAATGGCCTTCCCCCTTCTCACCTCCCCCCCATTCCCCCCCCCCCCCCCGCCCCCTCAGATCGATCTGCAGTTTGTTTGTCAACATCGCAAGAGGAGAGGGCAATGACCAGATACCCCATCCATCTCGCTTCCCCCTTCCCTCTCCCCTTGTTTCGCATCTACAGCAGGTTGTCAACATCATCCAGTGGTCCTGCCACGGGCAACGGCCGCTACTCTGGCCATTGCATCGACCTCTTCCATGCTCCTGTGCCCATGCCTTGCCGCCCTGCCCATCCATCTCCCTTTCCTCCCCCCTCTCCCTTCCCCTTCCTCAGGCCTACCAACAGTTTGTCAATGTCTCAAGAGGGGAGGGCAACGGCCGCTTCTCTGGTTGCTGCATCGACCTCTTCCGAGCAGCTGCAGCCATGTTGCCGTACGCACTCCACTATGAGTTTGTGCTCTACGGGGAGGATAACCTCACCGAAATGGTGCTGGCTGTAGCAGACAAGATGCGTGCTGCCTACTCATTTTTAGGCATATAATAAAACCTTCGTTTTTGGTTTCTTTTTTATCTCTCTCGAATGGTCCTTGTATTAATAATTGGGGGGGTACAGAGGAAGATGCAAAACACAAGCAAACAAGCAATCAAACCAATCTAACCTACCAGACATTCTCCTACCCACTCCCGCCCCTCTCTGTCCGATCCTAATGGTCGAACGGGGGCTCGATCAGCTGGTACAGCTGGCCCTCGCTAAGGGGGGCAAAGGGCCCCCGCACGCCCAGCTCGTCCGCTGCAAGGGCTTCATTGGTCTTACAGCGGAGGGTGTTGGCCTGCGCCCTTTAGAGGCACACGCTCCAGCGCTGGCGGTATTCCGTCAGCAGCTTGGCGGCCTCGTAGGAGGAGGGTGCGGCGTTGAATCTCAGCTTGGCTGCCAGCTCCGCGCATTGTTGCAGAAACGCCATCGCCATCTCTCTTTCTCTCTCTCCCTCTCAAGTGCCCCTCTCTGCATCGTGTCTATCATGTGGCAGGTGTACGACGGGGTCATTGGAGACATCACAGTCATGGAGACACGCAACACAGCAGTCTTCTTCACGTATCCCATCTTTGTAAGCCGTCTTACCATTCGATCAGTCTCCGTCGCACACTCGTATTTTCTTCTCGCAAATTCAGAGCGAGCTGAGTGCTAAGGAGGATCCTTTTTGCTTTCCGTTTGCACGCGAGAGTGTACATGAAAGCACGCTTGACAGGGTGGCAGAAGAAAAATAAATCGGCGCAAGAAGGGAGTTTTCGCAAGAGCCTATTGGAGGAGCAACGGGTGATGAGTAAGATACGGCTGGCGGGAGAGAAGAAGTGGACGTGGACCGGTGGATTCGAGCCCATCTGGACCAACCCTAGGACGGTGTTCAACCCACCGTAGTCCCCTCACTGGAGCAAACAGCCTCTGCTCACTCGTGCACGGTTACGACCGATATTGTCTAGTATGAATTTGTGTTTGCGGCGTATACTTTTCAATTCTAGAAAAGAATATATATATATATATATATATTATCTTCTCGCGTACCACATCTTCATGTGTCCGATCGACCACCCTCCCCTCTTCCTTCCAACCTAAGTTTCCCAGCCATCAGGCCTCGGAGTCATGGGTTATGCGGTGGAGAACTCGAGTGCCTGGCTGCCGTTCCAGCCGTTCACACTGGGCATGTGGGCATCACAACTGCTCATGCCTCCATTAACTCCCCCACACCTGCCCCTGCCTTCCTACCTCCCCCCTGCACACCCCCAATCCCACACGGCAGCCATCAGGCCTGGGAGTCATGGGGTACGCAGTGGAGAATGCGAGTCCCTGGCTGGCGTTCCAGCCATTCACAGTGGGCATGTGGAGTGTCACACTGGCGTTGTGCATGGTGGCGGGGCTCATCACCTCGTTCCTCGAGCACCAGTCCAACCAGGCCTTTCGAGGAAAGCTGCACCGCCGCTTGCAGAATGCCGCATGGTACGTGCGTGCATGTGTGCGCCTGTCCTATATGATTTTCAGTCATGCTTTTGAATGCTCAAGCGTGGCGCTGTGTGTGAGTGTGTTGGTGTCTCCAACATCCCACATCCAACATTCACCATCTAAACTACAATGAGCGCTTTCAAGAGTCAGCTCTATGTGTGGGTGTGCATCGCTGTGTCCCCCTGCCAGGTTCGACTTGCAGAACCTTTACTCCATCATGGGTGAGTGGGTGCCTCCATTGGTGGGTGCATCTATTGGTGAGTGCCTCTATTGGTGGGTGCCTCTATTGGTGGGTGCCTCTATTGGTGGGAGCCGCAATTAGTGGGTGCCTCTATTGGTGAGTGCCTCTATTCGTGGGTGCCTCTATTGGTGAGTGCCTCTACTGGTGAGTGCCTCTATTGGTGGGTGCCTCTATTGGTGGGTGCCTCTATTGGTGGGTGCCTCTATTGGTGGGTGCCTCTATTGGTGGGTGCCTCTATTGGTGGGTGCCTCTATTGGTGGGTACCTCTATTGGTGAGCGCCTCTATTGGTGGGTGCCTCTATTGGTGAGTGCCTCTATTGGTGAGTGCCTCTATTGGTGAGTGCCTCTATTGGTGAGTGCCTCTATTGGTGAGTGCCTCTCTTGGTGAGTGCCTCTTGGTGAGTGCCTCTTTTGGTGATCATATGACAAAATCGTTGACTGGATCTTGCTGGTTCTACCCGTATTGTCACAGCGGCACTTTAACCCGTCCGTCGGTATCACATTAGCCCGGCTCTTTATCGTCGTGTGACTCAAAAAGAGATTCCTTATAGTCACCATCTCTGCACGGCTAATCTCATGCACGGCAGTGTACCCCGTCCGCACCGCCCTCACCCAGCTCTTCATAAACATGACTCAATGTCAGCTTCCTTATAGTCACCATGCACCCGGCCAATCATGTACCCGGACAATCATGTACCCAGCTAATCCTGTACAAGGCTAATCATATACCCAGCTAATCATGTACCCGGCTAATCATGTACCCGGCTAATCATGCACCCGGCTAATCATGCACCCGGCTAATCATGCACCCGGCTAATCATGTACCTGACTAATCATGCACCCGGGTAATCATGTACCCGGCTAATCATGCACCCGGCTAATCATGCACCCGGCTAGTCATGCACCCGGCTGATCATGCACCCGGCTAATCATGCACCCGGCTAAAACCTGTCTAATCTTGCTCCCGGCTAATCATGCACCTGGCTAATCATGCACCCAGCTAATCATGCACCCGGCTAATCATGCACCCGGGTAATCATGTACCCGGCTAACCATGTACCCGGCTAATCATGCACCCGGCTAGCGTCTGGCTAATCATGCACCCGGATAAATCATGCACCCGGCTAATCATGCACGCGGCTAATCATGCACCCGGCTAATCATGCACCAGATGGCACTGCGTCCATCCACTGCTCCACTTTGTGTCCCTTTGCCGTCTCCTCCAGAGTCCTCTCTTCCTACGCTTGCTGACCCGGAGTCTGACTCTCTTCGTGCTGCCAGTCCTACTGTCATGCATCTTCTGGCTACTGTTGTCACTGACCCTTCCTTTGAGTCCACTGCTGCGTCTTCCCTAGTTGCTGAGCTTGTCGACTTCACTGCTCGCAGTCGTGTAAACTACGCCGCTAGTCTTCTTGGTGAGTCTGAGTCTGTCTGTCCTCCGTCCGTCTGGGGTGAGTGTGCTCTTTGAGGACAGGCAGGAGGAGTTCCAGTGATTTGCTGCTGCTTTACCTTATCTTGTGTCCATGCTGATTGCCCTTGAGGGAGACCCGGATGCACCAGACATCCCGACTTAGCGCTCTTACGCAGAGGCGATAGAGGGTCCCTACTCCTCTCAGTGGCAGTCAGCCATGGATGCAGAGATGGCTTCCTGGAAGTCCACAGGCACCTACGTCGACGAGGTCCCCCCACCTGGGGCGAACATCGTCAGTGGCATGTGGATTTTCAGGGTGAAGCGGCCGCCGGGTTCTCCGCCTGTCTTCAAGGCGCGTTACGTGGCTCGAGGCTTCAGTCAGCGGCAGGGAGTTGACTACTTTCAGACCTTCTCCCCCACCCCGAAGATGACCACTCTTCGGGTGCTGCTGCACATAGCCGCTCAGCGCGACAACGACCTTCACTCTCTTGACTTCAGCACTGCTTTCCTACAGAGAAGCCTGCACGAGGAGATCTGGCTGCTCCGCCCACCTAGCTTCACTGGGTCGTTTCCTCCTGGTACCCAGTGGAGCCTCCGTCGGCCAGTATACAGTCTCCGCCAGGCGCCTCGTGAGTGGCACGACACACTGAGGACTACGCTTGCGGCTCTTGGGTTTGCTCCTTCTACTGCCGACCCGTCGCTGTTTCTGCGCACCGACACCTCTTTGTCGCCGTTATACATCCTCGTGTACGTCGAGGACTTGGTCTTTGCTACTGCTGACACTGCTGGACTCGCCCACGTGAAGTCCGAGCTGCAGAAGAGACACACGTGCACAGACCTGGGTGAACAGCGCAGCTACCTTGGCTTGCAGATCACCCGGGACAGAGCACAGCGCACCATTACCCTGACTCAGTCACACATGGTGCAGCAGGTCCTTCAGCGCTTCGACTTCACGTACCTCTCGCCTCAGGCCACTCCTCTGTCTACTCGCCACTCGCTCTCAGCTCTGCCTTCGGATGAGTCCGTAGAGCCGAGTGGCCCGTACCCAGAGCTTGTTGGCTGCCTCATGTACCTGATGACCTGCACTCGACCTGACCTTGCATACCCTCTTAGCATCTTGGCACGCTATGTTGCTCCTGGGAGACACAGACTAGAGCACATGGCTGCAACGAAGAGGGTGTTGCGCTACTTGTGCAGTACGTCGGGCATGGGGCTTGTGATTGGAGGGCGGAGTCCAGTGGTCCTCACTGGTCACACAGACGCTTCTTGGGCGGATGACCAGGCTATGCAGCGCTCATGACAGGGTTACACCTTCAGCCTTGGCTCCGGCTCTGTTTCGTGGCGGTCTACCCGCTCGTCTTCTGTTCTCGGCTCTAGCTGTGAGGCTGAGATCTACGCAGGGGCCATGGCTGCACAGGAGTTATGCTGGCTCACCTACCTGCTGACTGACCTAGGAGAGCCGCCTCGTTCTCCTCCAGTTCTGTACGTAGAAAACAAGGGCATGCTGACCTTATGTCGGAAGCACAGACTGAAGCACACAACGAAGCACATTGCTCTTCGCTACTTCCTTGCTCGTAAGCTGCAGGAGCGTGATCAGCTGCGCCTTGCTTACGTGGCCTCTCGGGCCAGCACTGCTGATATCTTTACCAAGGCACTTCAGCCTTGTGATCATCAGTGCTTTTGTACGATGCTAGGTCTTGTGCCTACTTGGCCTCACTTGCTCACGTCTTGACCTTGCTTGTACTGTGATCTATCAATACCTGCACTTGCTTGTTTACCTTTATATATAATCCTGCATGCGAACTGGCCTTGTGGCCTTGAACTGGTGCTCGGAATGTGTGGTGACATTGTGATCCACCTTGAGCTCGCTTTGCTTGACTGGTCTTGTGACCCCTAGTTCTCCCCCACTTTGCCTATGGAGGTGTGTCAGATATATATGACTTGGTGTTTGTAGGCTCTAGTGGGGTAGACACTAAGGGGTACAAGTTTCTAGGGTATCATATTTGTATGACACAGTTTCCTAATTCATTCACTCCTCATTATTTCACAAATCATGCACCCGGCTAATCATGCACCCGACTAATCATGTACTCGGCTAATCATGCACCGGGCTAATCATGCACCCCGCAAATCATGTGATCGGCTAATTATGCACCTGGCTAATCATGCACCCGGCTAATCATGCACCCGGCTAATCATCCACCCGGCTAATCATGCACCCGGGTTATCATATTCTCGACTAATCATGCATCCGGTTATAACCGTGCTAATCATGCACCCGGCTAATCATGTACCCGGCTAATGATATACCCAGCTAATCATGTACCCAGCTAATCATGCACCCGGCTAATCATGCACCCGAGAAATCTTGTACCCGACTAATCATGTACCAGACTAATCATGTACCCGGCTAATCATGTACCCGGCTAGTCATGCACCCGGCTAATTATGCACTCGGGTAGTAATGTACCCGACTTATCATGTACCCGGCTAATCATGCACCCGGCCAATCATGCACCCGGCTAATCATGCACCCGGGTAATCATATACTCGACTAATCATGCACCCGGTTAAAACCCTGCTAATCATGCACCCGGCTAATCATGTACCCGGCTAATCATATACACGGCTAATCATGTACCCAGCTAATCATGCACCCGGCTAATCATGCACCTAGGTAATCATGTACCCGAGTTATCATGTACCAGACTACTCATGTACCCGGCTAATCATGTACCTGGCTAGTCATGCACCCGGCTAATTATGAAGTCGGGTAGTCATGTACCCAACTAATCATGTACCCGGCTAATCATGCACCCGGCTAATCATGCACCCGGCTAATCATGTACCCGGTTAATCATGCACCCGGCTAGTCATGCACCCGGCTAAAACCCGTCTAATCATGCACCCAGCTAATCATGCACCCGGCTAAACATGCACCCGGCTAATCATGCACCCGGCTAATCATGCACCTGACTAATCATGTACCCGGCTAATCATGCACCCGGCTAATCATGCACCCGGCTAATCATGCAATCGGCTAATCATGCACCTGGCTAATTATGCTCCCGGCTAATCATGCACCCAGCTAATCATGCACCCGGCTAATCATGCATCCAGGTAATCATATACTCGACTAATCATGCACCCGTCTAAAACCTGGCTAATCGTGCACCCGGCTAATCATGTACCCGGCTAATGATATACCCGGCTAATCATGTACCCGGCTAATCATGCACCCGGCTAATCATGCACCCGGGTAATCATGTACCCGACTTATCATGTACCCCACTAATCATGTACCCGGTGTGAAGAATGAGAAATAAATGAACTAGCAAGCAGGTGGGTACAAGTAGGAAAACCTAGAAGTATTGTACCCCATATAGTCTACCCCACTACAGCCTATACAGACTATGGTATAAGAGTTTGACACCCGGCTAATCATGTACCCGGCTAGTCATGCACCCGGCCAATAATGCACTCGGGTAGTCATGTACCCGACTAATCATGTACGCGGCTAATCATGCACCTGGCTAATCATGCACCCGGCTAATCATGTATGCGGTTAATCATGCACCCGGCTAGTCATGCACCCAGCTAAAACCCGTCTAATCATGCACCCAGCTAATCATGCACCCGGCTAATCATGCACCCGGCTAATCATGCACCC